AATGTGCTGTGTAAAGTTAGTTTGCTCTGAAGCCATCTTGGTAAATTACCCCAACAGTGTGAAGCTAGAATTCCTTCAGGGTGATGCCAGGTTCCATTTGAAATTCATTAACAAACTGCTTGGGCACAGAAGCCATTGTCTTCAGAAACTTTGGTGTAGTTGAATTGACAGTTACTGTGTTGTGACCTGGAGATCACCATTAAAAGGGTCACCCAAGCAGAGTCATGGAGTTTATTTGGTTATTAATGATTGTTGGCACATCCTATGCAATATATCTAAATTGAATTATGGTACCAGATAAAATTATAGATGGATATGAAGCTTGTGTATCATCCATTATCATGTGTAATCAATAAACGATTTACTATCCTCTTGAATGACAACTGTATGGATTTGGGACTGGCAGAGCTTTGGACTTTCCCTACCCACCACCCCTGATAATGTTGAATACTTCTATCACAATTCAAGTTCAAAGCTTTGCCAGAGAATAGAAACCAGCTGCTGGCTAATGCCACCCCAAAAGTCAACAGATTTAGAGTACTTGGGAGATGTTTTTTAAAATTGGCCAGCACCAGTAAGAAATTCTTATTCCTACACAAAATAGGCTTACATTAAAGGAAAACTGCAGTTTCCTTTGTTCTGGTTGGGTGGGCCTTTATAGAGGTTTATAGATTTTAACCACACTAGTTGCCTATTTGGAAACAAAAATTATGGGCATGTTTAGGAACCATACTGCTTACAAACATGATAACTGCAGTTTTCCTTTAAACACGGCACAAGATCACACAACCATCCTAAAATGTTAATTGTATGGAAAATGATTTCTAAATCTTTTAAGTTACATACTATCCAGTCATTGTTATTTGTATATAGGTTCTTTTGAGCCCTCCCCTTTGATATTTTCAGTGCCATTGTACTTACCTAGTAGCATAGAGATTTGTTTTATCACTAGGACTGTATTTCATCCCATGGGTGTGTTACTTGGAAGTCTGGGGGCGGGGTGGTGATGGGTGGGAGGTGGAGTGGAGGCGGGTGGGAAAGCATGGATGGATGATACAGTTCCATGGGTTTGATATTGGCTGAGTTTGCAATGGCAGGTGGAACCTTAACTATTGAGGGAGTTTGCAGATACCTCAGGATTCCTGACAATGCCTTTAAAGATCCAGGAGAGATGTTCAGCTACTAGGAACTGCTAGCAAGCATAGCGCGAATGGCTCCGAGCTCAGACACTCTACAGCTGAGAGTAGACACTTGTGGTATGTGGAGTACAGATAAGCCAGGGGCAGGCCACGGCACGCTCCATGAAAGCTAGGAGGGAGTGAATTTTCAGTGACCATCGCAAGGAAGGAGGCAGACAAAAGTAAGGCACACCTGACTCTTAGGACTAGCAGTCAGAACCAGGAGGAAAGGTTTTATTGCTATGCTGGTAGGTAAGAACAGATTTTACTTACATCCATATAGTTATGTAAAATCCAGTTTTTTGTTATATTTCCTTAATATATTGAGCCAAAACTAGTCCAGTTAAGCTGAACTTGGTTTTTCTGGAGATGGATTGTTTTAAATTGACACCCTAGCCTTGGTGGATAACAATTGAAGGAAATGAGTGCTTTAACTGTATCTACTATGAATAATAAATTTTTGGCCCTTAATTTTATTTCCTACTTCTTTGACCCATTTCCTTAAAACAATGGCTCAAAGTAATGCATTAGACTCTTCCCCAAAGTGATGGTGGGAGGGCGGGTGGACCATTAATTGGGGGGTGGGGGACTTAGCCTGAGATGGGACTTTATCTCAGAAAAGCTAGTTCTAAAGGTTGTTTGCTTTTCTAGGGAGGAGTCTGGTACTACAGGCTTATCAACACGTCTTAAACAGAAACTCATCTGTCCAAGCTCATGGCTAAAAGGTAAATTTTTATAAAGCAATGGTAAGCAAATGATTGGTATTGCCAAAATAGAATGAATCTGCCTCAGAACCAAAGACTTGCTAATCTGATCTAATAGAAATCTGTTAATAAAGCAACTGGGTTCCCAGTAAAAAGAATGGGAATCTTTCATCTGCTTGTGTAAATACTTCATAACTTTTTTTTTCTTTTTGCAGGAACATCCTTATGAGGACGACCTTTATCTGAGCCAATGTGTACTTCATTTTCACTGCCATGCAGTTTTCGTGGGCTGTGTTGCAGCTTGAATTAATCATTCAGTTTTATGAATGGGCTTTTTAAATAAAATGCTTTTAACTTTGTTTCTTTCACTTTCTCCTTTTCGTGATACTTAGGGTAAACTTGACACTGCACCCCTCAAGTTTGAGAATGGGAACTAGAGGAGGTAATGATATACCAGGTGTCTGCTAAACCAGAAAACTTACTAGCAGGATCAATCTAAAGAAGCAGGGCCTCGTGTAAAAAGTCATTGCATTTTGAACCTAGCAGTTAAGGTAAATGTTTTAAATCACGGGCTGGTGTTCAGATTAACAAGGAAGGATTGGGTTGTGGGAACTGAAATCTGAGAGGCTGGGCTCTCACTGCAGGGCTGAATTGTGACCGGTAGAAGTAAGCTGGTAACTGTTGCTCCACTTGAGAACACATCTTTTTTTCTAGTTCTCCTGGCAAGAGAGAAGTTGTAAAAGCCAGAGCTGTCCCACTCCAGTCTCAGGAGAGCTATGCTTATCTGTTAAATTCTGGAGGGGCATAGTGGATGTCCTCTTTGGTGAACAAGTATGTATTGGCCAGGTATCTTAGGCAATTTTAGCAAAGGCTTAACATTTTTCCCTGCTATTTTTAGGAGGTCACCCTCCCTCAATTTTAATCAGCTAAGGCGGGGTGGGGTAGCAAGTACGTTATCTTGCTGCTTAATCTCCATTTGTGACTTAAAGTTGCTAGATGTGGTTTTTCACATGGTGGTTTGGTGGGATAGGACAACTCGGGCTACCAGAGTTTACTAAATACATTTTTATTTTTTTAATTTCCTGGGATGACTGGTTAATAAGAGCTAAAAGCATTCTTATTGAAGAACTTCAACCCTGTCCAGTGTGGCTTGGTTGGCTGTTGTCTCATACACCAAAAGGTGGTTAGATTCCATTCCCAGTCAAGGTACATGCCTGGGTTGCACACTCAGTCCCAGGTAGAGGGGCATGCAGGAAGCAGCCAATCAATGTTATACTCACATTGACATTTCTCTCCTAAAAATAAAAACAATTGTATTACATTCTGTGTACTTTGATGGATGCCTTACTGATACAAGTTAGAGGAAATAGACTCAAGGAAGATAATTACCCTGTGCTAGTTCTTCAAAATAGGCTCACAACCAGTTTACTCTCCAAAAGCCTGTTCCCCCTGCTTTAAGCACATACCAAACAATGTATATGATGGTCTTCGTGGTAATGTGTACATAAGCATGGCATTGTCCTCACTATGTGTCATTCTTTGAACCAGAGCTTATTAGGTGCTCAGTGAATTGCCTTTATGAGCTGGATTAGAATGAAAACTGATGTCCCTTAGGGCAGCCTGCAGTCGCCAACCAGTGGTCCATGGGGTCCGAAAGGTTTGCAACCACTGCCTTAGGGGAGTAATAAGTTTCTGAACAGTTGACCCCAGGCCCTGCCCTCTACAACTTGGTCCCACATGTTCAATTTTTTGAAAGAACAAAAGTTGACAAGTGTGGACTCTTCAGATCTATTAGGAATAGAGAGCTTTACTTTCAATTCCCTAAACTTGGACATGTTTTTCAGAATGTGCAGATACGAAGATTTCACATCTTTGACCACTTTTCTGCTTTTGTCTCACAACTGTAGTGTCACTATCAGAAACTGGAAGTAGCCCTTGCTGGTTTGGCTCAATAGACAGAGCATCGGCCTGCGGACTGAAGGGTCCCAGGTTCGATTCCAGTCAAGGGCATATGCCCAGGTTGCAGGCTCAATCCCCAGTGGGGGGCATGCAGGAGGCAGCTGATCAATGATTCTCATCAATGATGTTTCCCTTCCTCTCTGAAATCAATAAAAATATATTTTAAAAATTATAGAATCTGGAAGTAAGATTTCCCCATTGGAATGGAGCTAGTAAAGTTGAATAGAAGTATAAATAGAAGCAAAATGCCAAAATAAGTTTGTAATTCAGGGCCTGAGAAGATTGGGAACTACCCAACTCCAAGGAGGTGAAAGTGTCAGAACTTGGATATGACATCTGAAAATTACTGTTTCAAGAAAATTCTATTGAAAAAATACAAATAAAAGGCCCTTGGTCTTCAAGGATCTAGAAAAGGGTGGGGAACAAGAAAGTGTCTAACATAACTAGGGAGATAGAAAATTTCACAGGCCCTGGCTGGGTTAGGGGTTTAATCCCCAGTCAGGACACGTGCAGGAATTAACCAATAAATGCATGGGTTGGTGGAATGGTGGGTCGATGTTTCCTGTTCTAAAATCAATAAAAATTTTAAAGGAAAAGTTCACCAAAATGCATATGGTGCTCTACTGTGGAGCAGGTTTTACTCAGGCTTGGGTGTGAAATCCCCTAAAACTTAGACATCCAATCAAATTCTCATTCCAATCAAGAGTTGCTCACTCGTCGTCTTAGGGAGCTCTGGAATATTCCCCCGCCGGGCTGAGGGAGTCCTATGGAAATAGGCAGGAGGAGGGAAATAGAAAAAAGGCCTGTGGGTATTCTAGGCTCCTGTGTTCCAAAAATTGAGAAAGGGAAAGCCTAAATAAGCCTCAGGGACCTTGCATAGAAGGTCTAGCCAGCTTTGGCAGCAATCTCAGCTCTATAAATAGGGGGCCACCAGGGAGGGTGGAGTTCCTCAGATCATTCACGGCCCCTGGCTCTAAAAAGGATGAAGGTGGTAGATCGCATACTGCTAGAGCCAAAATTGTGCGTGCCACTCTTACACAGAGCTGTAGGGGAAAGAAAGGAGCTTGGCAGGATTTCCTCCCCCCAAAACCAAGAAATGAGCTCTGAGGAGAGCTCCGCTTCATCACCCTCCCTGGAGAAGGAAGACACAGTGGAAAACTATTTCTGTAGAGTGCTTTATAAACCAAAGCTCAAACAAGAGGTGGAGGTTGGAGACCCGGGGAGCTGAATCACAGAAAGATTCCAGCCTTCCCCTCACATACTTGTCTCACAGCAAGCCTCATTGAACACACCTTGGACCTAACATGTCAGGTTTTTCACTGTTGTCCTCTTCTGGGCCTCAGGGTCGGGGAGTTCCTTTATCAGAAGGGAATGAAGGGAATCTCCATCACCGGTCCCGCCAGTTGGGCCAGCTCAGTCTGAGGCTTCCATCTTGCTTCCCCGGGGCACAAGGAATATGGCCCCATCAGCAGCCTGTTGCAACGCATACTCTTCCGGGGAGTAGTTGTTGCCAGCTTCATCCCGAAGGTGCTGGAAAATGTCACGGTACAGCTCGGCCAGCTGTTGGCGCATCACCTCCTAGGGGTCTGTCGGCCTCCCCACGGGCCCTGAGCAACCGCTCCCGCTCACTGCCCAGCCGCTCCCGCGCCCGCTCCAGCTGCACGATGGTTTCCAGCTTTCTCTTGCGACAGTTCTGGGCAGCCACCTTATTCTTGCCCCGCCGTCGAATGTCCCGGACTAGTGCCAGCTGGCTTTCTGTCAGCGGGTACCGTGCCAACAGCTCATTAAAGTCATCTACCGGCAGGTTGACAATCTTGTCCGTAGGGAAGGGGATCTTCATGGCCAGGGCCCGACGCTCATCCCGACTCCCTGCCTCCCCCCGTGCAGTGGGTTTGGCTCGCACAGGGCCTGAAGAGGGCTCTACGGCTAAGGGGGTCTCAGCAGGTGGCAAGGCATAACTGGGGTGGGCCAAGGAGTTGGGCATAAGTGAGTAGGGGTACTCCACCGGATACATCTCTACATACTCGCTACGCCGCCGACCAGCCTCTGTCCCCTCCAGCTCAAGAGATTCAGCATCACTATAGTTAAGGGATAATCCTGAGTCGGATTCTGGGTCTTCTTGAGGCTTGGGTGGCTCCGCTGGCAGCCCAATATCCAGGAGGGCTAAGGGGTCTGGGAGGGGTTCACTGAGCAGGCCTGAGAGGCTCAGTGGCTTGGAGACTGGGATGGCCATGTTGCCATAAGAATATGGGGGGTCTGGGACATGAGTTGAGGATACTGGGAGCTCATAAGGTGGTGGAGGAAGGGGGAAGCCAGCATCTGGGTGGATTGAGCAAGGACAGTAAGTTGGGAGTGGTGGGGGCCCAGGGTATGGGGCTGGGGCTGGAGGCTCAAACGACGGCTCACTTGGAGCATTTAGACCCTGCAAGAAAAGACATAAAAAGAGATTTGGAGACAGGCTGAGGAAGAGAACCAGCTCTCTCAGGACCAAGCTCGGTCCTTCTGAAAGACCCAGTGAGATAACAACAAAGGAACAAAAAGGCACTAAAAATCATTGAAAGCGTCTTGTAAAGTTGCAATGCAAGTCTTCCAAGAGGAAAGCAGTTTAAACAGGAATGGATATCACTGAGGACGGACTTCAGAAAGAACTAACATATGGAATCTCCTCCTCAGGAATTCTTACTAGGTTGAAATGGCTCATGTTTCTTTATTTCTTTCAGGAAGACAAGGAGTTGTTATCCAAGATGACCCCTCAGAACGCTTTCCTGCTGTGGTTATCTAGGGTCAAAGGGTCAAGTTCAGGTCCTGGCCATGCCCTGGGTGCCCAGCAGAGGGAGCTGCTGTGTGGGAGCAGGGCTTAGGGCAGATCCCGGGGGCCCATGTGTAGTGGTAGGGGAGAGAAAGGGTCAGGCGCAGAGCCAGTTCCATCTCACCCAGCTCCGGAGTGGGCAGCTGTGTCACCCTGGGGGCTAAGAGGCACCTTGGGGAGCCCGCGCCAGCTCTACCCTCCACTCTTCAGTCCCTCTGCCCCTGCCCAGGTGCAGAGAGGAGGAGAGAACATGCTAGAAACAGGGCCCCCAAACCACGTTGGGGAGCCACCCTGCTCTAGCCCAGCTGGGGACAAAGACCTTATTGTTAGGCCAACAGATACCCCTTTGTCCACTAGCAGGAGGAGAGGACCCTGGCATAGACTGACCCCCCTTCCTGAGGCCCTTGAACTACTGCTCAGCTACCTGGGGGAAAGGGGCCCAGCTGCTGAGGGCAGGGGGAGAAAATGAAGGGAGAAGACGAGCAGGATTGGAGGAAAGAGAGGTCAGAATAAAAGAAGGTGAGGAAGGGAAGGCGGGGCCGGAGGTGGGGTAGAGAGATGTGTGCAGAGTGGCTGCTGAGAGCATACATTCCCCAGTCAAATCCTTCCTTCCCCACCACTCCTGTCCCCTGCTCTTCCACACCCCTTCCCCTTAATGTTCTGGTCTAACATCCAGATCTCCCTTCTACTTCAGCCCTTCCTTTTCCCGTGCCTGGAACATTTCCAGCTTGAGACCCTGAGCCCTGCTTGTTCCAGCCCCCTGTCTCAGTCCCAGCGAGACTCTTTGTTTTTTTATTTTTCCCGGCCCCCGGGCCCCCCCCCCCCCCCGCCCCCAGCTCCACTCACCTGAAGCTCAGTGATGGACATGATCTCTTGCCAAGTCAGTTCCATCTCACCCAGCTCCGGAGTGGGCAGCTGTGTCACCCTGTTCCTGCTCTGCTGGGGAGGACACGGGGGCATCCTACTGGGCCAGGGCCTGGTCCAGGGTCCCCCAAAACCCAAATGGCCCCAGCAACCTGTATCAAAGGAGAAATGGGGTTAGGGCTCTCCTACTAGGGGTCAGCAGTTTTATCCTGCCTGCCTCCAGAGAGAGGCTCCTTCCAATGTACCTGAGAGGAGAGACCTCACCTCCCCCCCCCCCCTCACGCTAGACTCATCAACCAGCTCCTCAAGCTAGAACGTCTTTCTCTGCAGGGTGACCTCCACCTCCTCTGCTATGGCTGTAGGCAGTTCCTTTGGGAGCACATTAGGTCTTTACCCTTTTTTTCAGACAAGATGCCTTCTCTTTACCCTATTTCTTTCTCCCCAAAACTGTATCACTGGCTGGGGCAGAAGTCATGTCTTCTGGATTTTTCCTCCTCATTTTCTGAGGCAACATCAGGGATCACTCCTGCTTTCCTCCTCTGTTCTCAGTTTTAGGATCTCAGCCTTTTCTTCCCAAGATGAGAGTGAGTGCTTGGGGATCCCCAAGGAGTGTGTTGTGGGAAGAACCACGCAGACAGTCCCTCCCCTTCTCTGAGATATGGCCCAGGCCTGGTGCCTGATAGCTGCCCTGCCCTCTCCTCCTATCCTGGCCCTGGACTCCCTTGCCTGGGCCAGATAAGAGGTTTATCAGCTGCAAACAGCAGAGGAGGAATGGTCTCTGGAGTCACTGGACCTCTGCCCTGTGTCCCTGCAGGGTCATCTTGTCCATACCCCAACCCACAGCCAGGGACCTTTCCTCTTCCAAGGTAACAAAGATGTATTAAGCATTTGTCAAGAACTGTACTAGTGTTTTACAAGCATTCGTTTATGAGGCTGATTTTCACCAAGATCCTATAAGGTCCATTCAGACACTGAAACCCAAGCTGGTAAATAGCAGAGTCAGGTCTGGCACCTCTACTGACTGAGTCTACTCACGGCTAGTCTAATAGCCTATATCGCCTTCTAGGTGCCTTCTCACCCTCTGTCTCCATACCCCAAGCCTTTAATAGTGGTCTACATCATCGATTCTTTCTGTGGGATCTCAGTCTCTTTTTTCCTCTTTTAGGGAATATCTCTTTAGAACAGCAGTTCTCAATCTGTGGGTCGCGACCCCTTTGGCGGTCGAATGACCCTTTCACAGGGGTCGCCTCAGACCATCCTGCCTATCAGATATTTACATTACGATTCATAACAGTAGCAACATTACAGTTATGAAGTAGCAACGAAAATAATTTTATGCTTGGATCACAACATGAGGAACGGTATTTAAAGGGCCAGAAGGTTGAGAACCACTGCTTTAGAGCCTTGAATACGTATTCCCCTCCAGCCCCTTTTCTTTTGATCTGGGCTCTAGCTGCAGGTCTGCCACAAAGTAGCTGTGTGATGTTGGGCAAGTCATCGCACTTCTCTGAGCCTCTTTCCTCATTTGTAAAACTAGAGTGTTGGACAAGTGGAACTTGGAGATCCCTTTCTGCTTGGACAGCTTAACTTTCTCAGCAAACCCTCACCTCTGCCTTCATCTTCTCTCTGTCAGTCTTCTCCTTATCCTACCTCCCTATTCCCTGTCACCCGTTTTCCCTGCATCTGTTCTCCCTGCCTTCGGCAAGAAATTCTGAGTAAATTTGGCAGGGACCTCCTGATCTCTTAAGGCCGGACACTACTCCCTACTCCTGTCATATAAGTAGAAGCAGTCAGGCTAGGGGGAGGGGAAACATAGAAGAACAGAGGATGGGACGGGATGGGACGGAATGACCTCAAATTGCATGACCTTAGATTACCACAAGGATGGCCTATTTGGTTATGGAGTCCACTCTTCGAATCCCACAACATAATTAGAGAGAGCTGCAAATTATTCTTCAGAAAGAGGACCTCCTCCAGCCCCTGCCCCTACCCCCTTGTTCTATTGCCGTCCCCAGAGCTGAGAGTTGGTATAGGCACAGGCCCCTGGCCATTGGGCAGAGTGGGTGGGGTGTTTATGTCTGTCCAGGATGCCATTTCAACACCGGAAATCCACCCTCCCCCACCCAGGTTCTGAAGGAAATTGCCCAAAGGCAAAGTGAATGGAGAAGGGGTTTATGGGGCAGGGACATTGGCTCTTGCCTCACAGTCCTTCACACACCCACCTACCCCCACCCTTTGTCTCTCCTTATATCTTCCTAGGCCTGAGGCTTAGGTGCAATACTAAGATTCTGCCCTAGGAGGCAGGAGAAAGGTTCTCTGGCCTTCCAGATGCATGACCTTGGGCAAATTGCTTCTCGTTCAGTCTCTTCCATTTAATGGAAACAGGATGAAGAACCTCCTTACTGTGAGAGGCAGTAGATTATTTCTAGCTCAGGCACCACATTACCTGGGTACTCGTAAAAACAGAATCCTGAAAGCCACCCCAGACCTACTGAATTGAATTCATCAGTGCGGGTACCCAGCAATCAGCATTTTAACAAGTGCCCTGGTGTTTTTGAGACACACTAAACTGGTCCAACTGGCAAGTGGTCTCCAGGCTTCTCCTAGCTTCCGATCTTTGGCCCGGGCAACACTGGGTTCTGACTGCCCCAATGGCTGAGACTAGATATCAGCCTCTTCTCATGAAGACCAGGAGCTCAATCTCCACCTCACCCTAGGACAGGGAAATGAGAACCAGAAGGGAGCAGAGAGAAGCAAGAAGTTGGGGAAGGGGGAGTTGAGAGAACCTCGGCATCAGCTCTCTGATACAGTGGCAAGTTTGCACCAGGCCAAAGGGGAGGAGTATGTTTTTCCCTAGACACTCAATGATGGGGTGGCCTATATACCAAGCATAGGCCCCTTGAGTCTTCGGAGCCTACTCTCCTGAGGATCAGCCAGGGTGTAGCAGCCAGTGATATAAACCGGGGAAGAGAGTACAGTGAGAATTGGATCCAAAGAACATCACACACACGCACACACACAAGAACATCACAGAGGGTGCAGAAACTAGAGAATGCTGGGAAATGGAGTGGGACTCCCTGTGTCCCTTTTCTTTTTGAATAATCAGTTTCCACTTCCCAGTTTAGTGGTCACACAGCCATCTTACTCCCCAACATTGTGTATCAGGTAGGACTGGAGCCATCTCCAGGGACTATAATCCACCCTCTTTATTCTCATCCTGATGGTCCTGATGGTCGTACCCAGAAAGCTCTCATCACAGTCCCTGAGTACTCACAGAATGACACGGGGCTTTTTGCTTAGGGATACAGGAGGACCAGTTAGGGAGGGATGCTGGGGAGAGGAAGACATTTGGCCTCAACTGCTGCCTGGAGCTCTAACTGCCTTAACAAGGCAGAGGGGGCGCTTGCCTCTAGGAGCCTCTTCTGAGGCTTACTAGGCCACTCTACCTTTCCAGGTGTCAACAGAAGCAGTGAAAGAATGAAGAGAGATCAGTGAAACTTGGGGTGTGGAGTAGCCAGTGAGCAACCTACTTGGAGAGATTAGGAAGAATCCCCGAAGAGGGAGAGGGACACATAGATGAGGGAGAAACAAAGGGAATGGAGGAAAAGGAGATGGAGTTGATCAGAACGAGATTCAATCTCCTGAGGACATACATAACTCAAACAGGTGAACGGGAACAAGGGGGAGAGGACCATCCTGTCACATGGTCCCTAGACCCCAAACTGCAGTCCTTTGGGGGCCAATGACTAGAGTCCCAGCCCCAGCCCCTCTCCCCTTCCACTGCTTCCCTGCCCACTCCCTTTCTGCTGCCATGACTTCCAGTTACAAGGAACTACACTGGGGATGGGATCCTTCCGCTCCCCTCCAGTCCAAGCTGATCTCTATTGCCCAGAGAAGAGAAGGGCAAAGGGAGGCAAGAACTAGCACCCCACCCTCCCACCAGCACATCTTGCTGCAACAACACTTCCAATGTCTCCAATTCCTCAGCCTCCACCAAACCGTCCCAGCCGGCTGGACAGGGCAGCATGATGAAATGGCGAGGAGAAAGAATGGTACTTTCTCCTGGGAGTCTACGATCTTCTCCAGGGCAACTAGCCTGCTGAAGGGTTACTCAGGGTCATTCTCCAGCCCCTCAGGGGTGCCTCAGCGGACCACCGTCTGGTCCCCATCCACAGCCATTCAACCCAAGAATCCCAGAACACTCCAGAGCCATCTAGGTCTTCTCCCGGAGGAGTTCCCAAAGATGTCAAATTCCTAAACCAGGGGCAGCTTGGGAAGGTCTGATATCTCTTAAGAACATGCCAAAAGTTGGGTATTTCCTCCCTCTTCCTCCTCCGCCCCCCCAGCCTGTCCCTGGATCCCACTAGAATCCCCCTCCCACCCTGCCCCTCAGGCACCTGTGGCAGGCTCCAAGTTGGGTGCAGAGAGAGATGAGGCTCCAGGTGCTGTCTCTGGGGAGGCTGGGCCTGGGCTGACACCTCCTTCGCGAGGATCCCTGCTACCTCTGAGAACCTGGGAGGTCTGTGCCCCGCCCCCTGGCCATTGCTGAGCGCTGAGTCTGCAGGCTGAGCACTGAGCACTGAGCAGGGGAAGCTGCTGGGCGGTGCACCAGCCTCCTCTATGAAGCCCTCGGCCGGAGTTCTCGGTCCTTCCTCCAACCCTCCCCTTTCCCTGTGGCCCTCCTCTTCTCCTGCCCCTTCTGGCCAAGGGAGGAAACTTGAGCCCGGTGTGGTTTCTGCCCACACCCCACCCCCACTCTGATCCCAGCCAGCAGGGGCACACATGGCTTCAAGCCTCTCCCAGCCCTCCTTCTGAGCCCAGGAGTCCAGCCAGGTCTGTGTTTCTCCCATGCACATGAGTTCCAAGCGGGTGTTCCGCTCCAAAGTGACCTCTAAATGTTATACAAGCTGTAACCTCCTTCCCTCTGCTCGCTTGACTCTCTCAGGGACAGGGAAACTGAGTCATAGCAAGGTGGAAGGGTGCTGAAGAAAAGGGCCAGGTCTCTCGGCTGTTTAGGCAGGTGGGCATTTAGGGCTCTGCTTTTATTTAAGGAACACCTGGGTTCTGGGAAAGGGGTAGGGGAGCTATTTTGGGGAGAGGCAGCGGCTGCTTTGATGTGTCCTTTCACCTGTAGCCTTCTCCCCTCCCCCTACAGCCTCAGATGTCTAGGACAAAGGCCTCTTTCTTGGCCAGGTTTGTTGTCAGTGTGAGGGGAATTGGTGTGTGTGTGTGTGTGTGTGTGTGTGTGTGTGTGTGTGACATATTCACCTCCCTTAAAGGGGACCCCAGGTGCCCTCTGTCCTCCTTTCTCCCAGGCAAGGCACCCCAACCACAAGGCAGCCACATACCCTGGGCAGGCCAAGGCATGTGTGTAGGATATCAGCTCTGTGTCAGGTTAGAAAGTACCCCTAGAAGTCACTCTTCATCCCTTTGCCTTCAACCCGCAACCCAAGTCCCAGGCCAAACATCTCTCTCCAGAGACTAGGAGAAAAGAACCTTGCTTCCTCCTAGCTCTTAGTGGCTTTCAGCTCTAAGGAAAGTCCTTCCTATGTCTACCTTCAGTCCTTACAGCTGCAACTTACCCTTTTCCTCTAATTCTTTTTTCATATGGTGCTCAAGTTAAATTGGAAACAGTTAAAGACTGGGGAGGCAGACAGATGCCACCCCAAAGCAGGTCTGGCATTCAGCCAGTATTCTCTGATAGGATTGTGTTCACTGTTAAAACAATGAAAATGTTCTGTCCCAGTTGATAAAGAATAGCTGCTGGGAACCCTCCAAATATTCCCCACCACCACATCAGCCACCCCAGTTCTCTCTCAGGGCCCCCCACAACCCAGCAATACAACTAAGCAATTCAAGAGGCAATGGAGGCAATACAATACCACCTCGTTTCAGCCTCCCTGCAGCCTGTGTGTGGAATGTATCAATGCTCATGCCAAACCTCTGGTTAAATGTTTTGAATTCCATCCTTATCCCAGGAAATTATGATTCTACATGTATGATCTATGTAGGACAGGAGGTGACCCAGGGCTTCATTGCATGTTACGTGTGGGTTCAGAATCTCTTGATGACTTGGACATGAATCTGGGTCACAAACTCGCACATTCAGATATAGCTCTCTCACTTGCATACTTATTTGGGCACCTCACAGGGGATTAGGAGTGGTGATAGTCACACTGATGGCTGATTAAATAATGATATCAGGCTATAGCTAGTCAACAAACATTTATTGAATGAAAACTACCAGTCGGGATACTGTGGCATTGTAGATACAACTATGGATACACAAACCTATTCATTTATTCATTCATTCAACAAATATTTATTGACTGTCTACTGTGGGTCACACTCCAGGAACACAAAGATGAGTAAGACAGTCCATGTCCTCATTCATACTCTAGCCGGGGAATTACACTAATAAAGTTCTGTAGCCCTAGCTGGTTTGGCTCAGTGGGTAGAGCGTCGGCCTGCAGACTGAAGGATCCCAGGTTCGATTCCAGTCAAGGGCACATGCCCAGGTTGTGGGCTCGATCCCCAGTGGGGGGAGTGCAGGAGGCAACTGATCAATGATTCTCTCTCATTATTGATGTTTCTCTCTCTCTCTCCCTCTCCCTTCCTCTCTGAAATCAATAAAATATATATTTTTAAAAATAAATAAAATTCTATAGAAAGTACTATGAAACTGAATTTCTGTTTGGTGAAATTCAAAGAAGACTTCACAGAGGGGGTGAAAATTAAGCTGAGCTGTGGAGAATGACTCGGGGTTCACCAGGCAGAGAAGGGGAGAAGGTTATTCCAAGCAAAGGTGTGAAGGCACAGAGGCATAAAACACAGCCTAGGACTTTGGGTGGGTGTAGGGGTAAGATGTAGTAGAAGATAAGCCTGGGAGGTTTGACTGGGGCTAGATTGTAAACGATCTTGAAAGTCAAGCTAGGGAGGTTGTATTTCATCCTGTAAGCAATAGGCATTCATAGAAGCATTTGAAGCAGTTTACTACTCATTAGGGGGACAGACATGGACAGGTAGGCTGAGCGAAGTGAATAAGCAGCCTTCACTCAGGCAACGAGTAGGGCGGAGGTGTCTCTCCTACCTTCCCCTCACTCCCCTCCTGTAAAAAGAGGCCGTTACTGCGGTTCCCAGGCTGTGTGCTGCCTCCAAACACCCTTTACAGCCCTTGGGGTGAGAATAGCTCCTTTAGCTCCCTCCTCTCAGATTTCTCGTGTCCAGAGTCAACCCCCTTCTACCTTAAGTCTCCTTTGCTTAATGTAAGATTAACAGGGGATTAGGAGCCTGAATGGGTTGGATAGTGCCTGTGGCTTGGCAAGGTACGATACCTAAGATTTTCTTATCCCTCAAGATTCCCCCTCTTCAGCAAAGGTAGCAGAGACAGAACATGGAGAAAAATGTGGCCACGTATCTTTACTACTATACCATTCCCCATCCCTGCTACTCACCCACCCTCCAAAGACTGACTTCTTGTCATACCCCTGCTCCATCCACCCCCACCCTCACTCAAAAGCGTGTGCACACCACCACCAGCATCAGGTCAAGCCACAAGCAATGTTGCCAAACACCCCAAGGGGTTATGCAACCAGCTTCCCGAGTAGGGTAGGGCGGGTAGAGGTGGAACCAGGGGAGGGCTTGGGTCCCAGAAGGAGCTGGCTGTCTTGCCTGCTTGCCTGCTGGTCTGACCGCAGTGGCCCCAGGGGGCGGGGGCAGGGCTGTCCCTTTATCAGTGCCCTGCAGTGTTGCACCCGCCACCCCCTGGCTTCCTCTCTCAACAGACGGAAAGAGGAGGCAGCCACAGGGCCTAGGGGAGGGGTGGGTGTTATCCTAGGCAGCAGAGCCTGGCGGTTACCCGGATGGCAGGAGTAGGTAGTGGAGGAGGTCTGGGACCAGGGAATAGTGAGGCCCCTCTTAAGGAAGTAAGTGGTGGGGGAAAGAGGGGATATAAACTGAGGCCCAGATGGTGGGGTCAGACCTCTTAAGCCATCCATTGTTTTCCCCTTGTGTTCTAGTTGGGTAAGGATAAGATAGAAAAGTCATTGAGGAAGTTCCTTTCCACAGATAAGAATTCTTAGAGGATTGACTCAGGAGTTGAGGGGACACTGAGCCCCACGCTCAGACCAAAACAGCTTGCTGTTGTCAAGAGTCCAGGGAGTTGTAGGATTGAGGTTCCCACACCTGGTATTTAAGACTTATGCCCTGCTAGCAGAGACCAGCACTGAACCTAAAATAGATGAAGGCTGATAGGTGAGTCCAGAATAACCCAGAAGAAATAACCCCTTAACTCTAAATCTGGAGAGAGGAGTTGGTTGCATGGCATATAGTAGAACGAGAGAGGACCAGATCTTGAGTTTTAAGACCTGAATTTGAATCCCTGTATTTATTAGTGATGTGGCTTTGAGCAACCCAACCTTTCTGAGTTGTTTCCTCACCTGAGAAATGGAGATAATGATGTTAACACCTATTTAGTGGAGTTGTTGCGAAGATAAAATGAAATCAATGAGAAAGTGACTCTAACCTGGCCGGTGCTGCTCAGTGGTTGAGCATCAAGCTATGAACCCCGAGGTTACCAGTTTGATTCCTGGTCAGGGCATATGCCTGGGTTGCGGGCTTTATCCCCAGTATGGGGCATGCAGGAGGCAGCCGACCAGTGATTCTCTCTCATCATTGATGTTTCTCTCTCCCTCTCTCCCTCTCCCTTCCTCCCTGAAATCAATAAACAAAAATATTTTTTTTAAAAAAAGAAAGTGACTCTGTTATGATTTAGATGGAGGCTTATAAACCTGGAGGCCAGGGTGCCTCAGGGGCTTGAGGAACTGAGAACAGTCTATCTGGAAGCCAGATTCTGATAGAAACATGCTTGGGACAGACAGAACTAAAGCCAGTGGGCAGCCAATTCTGGGAGAGAACCAGCACTAGAATGCAACAGTGTTGGGGGGCCATGGGGTAAGGACGGTAGCAAGACTTCCAGGAACCAGCCCGCAGGCCATGGTTCTCCCACCCCAGCAATATTGGGCAGGGCCGGTTTTAGCCACACAACGGGCACAGTGCCAGCCTTATGGGCTTCAGTCATCTTCCAGGAACCCCAGAACCCCTACCCTCACCCTATCCTGTTGCAATCCTCTGCAATGGGCAGAGCTGCCTAGGAAGTCCCGCCCTCTGCTCCATAGAGCATAGAAGGCTTGATGCCTGTTTATTTCCTCCTTTTCAAGGCATCCTATTTATTCCAGCCTATCTTTGCTCCTGCTGCTCCCTCCAGCAGAATACTCTCCTCGGCCCTATCTACCAACCTGAGGTCATATGGAGTGGAAGAGAGGTCTGGGTTGGAGTCTCAGCTCTCCACTTAGCAGTGTGGATTTGGGCAAATTATTTAACCTCTTTGAGCCTCAGTTTCCCCTTGGTTTCCATCACAGGTTCCTGTGAGGGATCAGATGAGACAATGTACATACTGTGCTTATTCAGGAAGTATGCTCATGTTGATTCCCTTCCTCTGATCCACTCTCCAAGGCCCAGTTCAGTTCAACTTTATCTTTGCAGCACTTTTACTGGCTACCTCAGGCCATACACATATTTCTCTTGTCTAACTCCTTTTGTAATTATTATATATACCAGAGAATTAATTACCTCATTTAA